TCATCAAACTTAAATTCAACCTTAGGTCTATTAAAAAACTGCTTTAGCCCATCCTCCTCCTCGTTCTCATGTGGCAAATTGTCTCGCAAACCATCTCGAAAGTTACGAAAGTTAATTCGCATAGCAACAGGGTTGGTGACTGTGGCACCTTGAATACTTCCAGATTCTTCAACAATTACATTTCTAGCGTCACTAACAAATGCGGTTTCAATAATATTAATAGCATATTGTAATGTTGTTGGACATTGCATAACCTTCTTATCACTTGATAGCCAGTAGAAGATCCACTCATCCATCAGATCGGTAAGAACTATAAATACTGGAAATTGCGAAATAATAATTGGTGACGAGTTCACCGATAGCTTGATAAATGTGAAAGTCTTGAATTTTCTTTTTGATTTCAAATCCGACATGTAGTCCACCACGCAAATCATGAGCTTTAGCAAAGAGTTTATCCGCGATCACCAAATCTGTCGTCCCGCTTATGCTGAAAGGAAGCGCTTCATCATTTAAGGATAAAAGATCTTTTTTGGATTTGGGATCATACCAATCAATTTCAGAAGTAAGGGAGATGGTGCTCTTTATGTATGACAAATATTCTTGTGCATGTTGATCTTCTGATTTACCAAGTTCCCAGTAAAAAGGTATAACAGGTTTTTTTGTCGGGGCTACATTGGCTTGAATTGTACGTTTTTGAAAGTTAAAGCGATTGAGCAGCTCATCCAAATCCGATTGGCCTATTTTTAAAAGAGAAACTTCGGGTTTTTTATACTTCTGAAATAAAATAAATAAGAAAACCGAAAGACGTGAAAGAAATGCACAGGAGAGGCTTACTTATCAATGCATTCGGTGAAACGTTGTGTAGTATCGGTGAATATATCGAGCGTTCGTTTTATTGATGGTTCAGACTGCAATTCTGTCATAAACATTAGAAACATGTAGTAAATCAGTATGAACATCGCCTCAAATATATTTATAATTCCATTCGCCAAGTTTTCATTTAAATAACAGGAAATAAATTTATTAGTACTACTCTTATAAATGTGATATGAAATTCCTCCGCTTACCAAAAAAAGCGGGTAATTCAACAATTAAGTGAACATGCATACTAGGGAGTGTGGGGAATTTCTCTTCAATCGAAGCCAGAGGTTCAACAACTGACCGCCAAGCATACTCATAATGTCAACATTGCGGTCACTGAGAGCGTCTCGTTGAGGGTTTGTTGAGATCAATATTAACCTTCCATAATTTTAGGTTGTTTGGCGCAATGTTGTCGAAAAAAGGCCTTTGCGGTCTCACTTTTACTTATCTTGACTAAAAAGACAAACTTCAGGATCACCGTGAACTAGACAGCATAGTTGTATCGGTTGTATCTTTTTAGGTGGCATGGTAAACGAAAAGTATCTAATAAAGTATAGTACAGGACAGTAAAAGACATCCAATCTATACATATCAGTGTTGGCCATTTTAGGTCATATCCAACTTTATATGACCAAGGTGGTCATAATATAATAATAAATTTTATAAGTC